TTTTGCTATGGAAAAACTGATGCTATAAACATTCATGTACAAATTTTAATGACGACAATTTTCATTTTTCTTGGGTCTGTATCTTGGAATGGAACTGCTGAGTTATATGGTAACTCCATTTTTAAAACCTTTTTTAAAAAACAATGAGCCAGATTGTTTAAAAACAATGAGCCAGATTGTTTTCCAAAGTGACTATATCACTTTTCATCTCACCATCAGTCCATGAGGGTTGTGATTTCTTCACATCTGCACAAGCATTCATTATCAATTTTATTTTAGCACTCTTAGTGGGTATGAATGGTACCATACTGGCATTTTTATTTGCATTTTCTTGATGGTTAATGATGCTGATTATGTTTTTATGTGCTCATTGATGATTTGTATTATCTTCTTTTGAAAAAAGTCCATTCAGATCCTTTTCCTTTTTAAAACTATTTTTTTTTTCTCAATGGTTTCATGTTTGCTCTGTTCTTACACAGCGAATCTCTTAAAGGCAGTGATTTTATCTGTATAAAACCATGAACACTGTTATAGTATGTTGGTATCCAACTCCATCTGTTTATAGTATGTTGGTATCCAACTCCATCATAACTGTATGACTTGGCCAATTAATTTTTCCATACCTTTGTTTTCTTGTCTGTAAAATGGGGATAATAAAACCTACTTTATAAAATGAATGTGAGGATTAGATAAAATAATGACTCCAAGGCCCCTAGCACAGTATTTAGCACTTAGAAAATAACTAGTAGATGTTATCTATTACTTTCTATAATAGTTATACTTTCTAATAGAATAGTTCAGTTTCTTAAACAACAGGTATTTAGTGAGAATTTAGTATTTAGTATTTTCTATTTATATGTTATAATTATAATCAAAATAAGATTATAATTCATAATGTAAATATATTTAGTATAGTATTTAGGTATTTAGGGTGAACAAAGTTGGAGACTAAATTATTTAGTAATTTATTGCTAAAGTTATGACTAGCTTTCTAGGAAACTTCAAACACCCTAATTATGGAACATAGACTGAGCAAGTGGATAAAATTAAGATACTTCTTATTCATCCTTTATCAGGTGATGGATATTTGGGTTAATTCTATTTTTTTTGCTCAAACTCCCCAAACAAGACTTTTCTACGGTCTTCTAAGTCTTCTAAGTCCCTAAATGGAAGGAACTCAATGGGAGTAGTCACGAGGATGGTTTCACAGCTCTAACATATGCTTAGACAAAGATACCCAGATCCAAAAATATCATCGTTATTTGAGTCTTTAAAATAAAGAGAGCTCAAACTTCAAAAGAAGCCTGTTTTGGGTAAAAATATTCAGGAAGCCATCTTAATCTATCAATTCTTGAGGAGCAAACTGCAGCGAAGGAAGTAACTGCTGATAACCAAACTGGTAGATCTTAACTGGTAGGTTGAAAACTTAATTTAGGCGTCTATAAACACAAAAGATGACTGACTCCTCATGATGGATTGGAAGCCTAGAGCTCCCTCTGCCTTCAATACTGCCTTAACAGATAATTATTGTCTTTGATTTTGTTTTGTTTTTGAGATTTGAAATAAAAATCAATATTCTTTTTCCTACTATGGTAAGAACACAGAATTTTAAACCGTCCTTGGGCAATATGGATAAGCCAGAGTGAGAGGGATTCAGCAGTAGAAATAATTCAAAATGTTGTGTGACAGGCTAAACAACTGACCTTCATCTGATAAGCAGTGAAGAGATATGGGGTCAAAGCAGAAAGGAAAGATATGAACTGAAAAAAAAAAAAAGCAGCAGTGCTTTAGGAAGCTAATCAGAATCAGAAGGTATAACTATTACAGAAAGTAATAGATAACATCTATTAGTTATTTTCTAAGTGCTAATTCCTAGAAGGGAGGTAGGAATCTAGACTTGGAGGCATGTGGTCTTCATATAACTTGGAGATAAATAGACAATAAGCATAAGTCTGGGGCAAGGAGAGTTTGGACCAACCTCTCAAATCCTTAACCCTTAAGCATGGAATAGTAAGGAGAAGAGAGCTATGGTTTATTTAGGAAATTGCCCAATCATAAGTAAAGATTATTTCAACTTTCTCTTTACCCTGATCATGATCTAACATGTAGCAAAGAGTAACTGACTACTATTATTATTACAGCTAATAATAATAATAATAATAATTGTCACTACTTATGGAGTACTTTGCGCTAGGTGGTAAGTTAAGCACTTTAGATTTAAGCCTTAAAATGATCCTATAAAACATAATATACTGAATAATGAGATGGCGAAATAAAGGGTTAAAGAGATTGACAAGATCAAGATTAAGAGAAATAGGATTTGCAGTGATGGGTGTTAAACTTAACCCTAGATAATGCATTGTTATCCCATTAGTCCTTCACACTCTCCAATCCTTCCTCTGCCCTCCTTCATATTTCCTTCAGCTAGCCACACACCTAACACTGTGAGGGCCCAAAGCAACCAAAGTTCCTTCATCTCCCTGAAGAGTTTTTATTACTCTCTAGGCTGACTGGATGGTTTCAAGGTCCACTGTAAGGATGCAGATTCTGCTTAATGTAGACCTATCTGGCTGAAGAGAGAAACAAACATGGTGGCTCAGACATAGAGGGTTATTACAATTAGGAGATTATCACATTAATCCAGATCTTAACAGAGCTGGCCTCAATGAAGCTGCACCTCCGGGTCATTCTGGATATAAGATGGTTCTGCTAAGGTCCATCTTAAGAACTGTATTTTATGAATCTTTGTATTTAGGTTTCACAATTGACAAAAATTAGCCATGTTACACATGTCTGTTTCCTCCTGGTCTGCTAATAACTGCAATTTCCCTATGAGTTCCTTGAATTACATTCTTGGAAAGAATGAGAAACACACACACCATTGCTCCTCTTCATTTGGATACTGCCTTACAAGTAGTAAGCCACCAGAAAGTCTGTTGATGGGCTCACCTTTATCAGATGCCCACCAGGGTCATGTGGTTCAAGCATGACATCCCAAATTTTGTTTGTTCAAGTGCCTTTCAACTAAGTGATTCTACCTCAGTTCTGTTCTGAAGTCCACAAAATCCCTAATCCCCTAAACAAGTGCCCTATGATTCTAACAATTACAATATTCTCAAGTATCATAAATGGATAAATGCCATTTGTAATACTAACTACACACATTTGTAAGATCTTATTATTGCTTTGAATAAAGAATAAACTAGATTCAAGACAGCAGTGTGGTATAATGGAAAAATCATGAACTTTGGAGTCACATAGAACTAAGGCTGAATTTCTATTTTGCCTGTCACTTTCTGTGTGATACAAGACATCAAAATTTTTAAGCTTGAGTTCCCTTACTTTTTACCAGGTAGCCTCATTCACTATTATTGAGGTTATCTTGGCACCATTAGTTTTATTGATTTGCAATCTTAACTCTTATTTCTACATTCAAATTATTTTCTTAGTTTATGGTACATTCCTGTCATTTTACTTTTTTTTTTATTACAAAGACATTTTTAAGAACAAAACTGTATTATTTGAAATACTTTCAATTTCACATATTAGAGTCAGTACTAAAATGTGGTTCTGACCCCAATAAGGTACATTCTTTAAAGAACACTTTTTAAAAAGATACTTGTAGGTCACTTGTTGGTTTTTAAAAACATTCTATCCATGAAGTGTTAAATTGATAAAGTATAATTTCCCATGACCACAACTCAATTGGAAATTAAAAGTTTGGCTATAGAGTAGGAGGATTTAAAGTTTCTCATACAAATGACTGTCAAGAATAAAAGCTACTTTCGCCAGGCATGGTATTACACACCAGCAATCCCAGCAACTCGGTAGGTTGAGGCAGGAGAACTGCAAGTTGGAGGCCAGCCTCAGTAACTTGGTGAGGACCTAAGCAACTGAGGGAGACCCTGTTTCAAAAAAAGAACTGGGAATGTGGCTTAGTGATTAAGCACCCCTGAGTTCAATCTCTGGTACAAAAAAAGAGGGTGTTACTTTATTAAGAGGAAGGCAGCTTACTGGCATTGATTATGGATAATTATTAACTTTCATTTGCATAAGGCTTGTAAAAAAAAAAGCTATGTATTTTTTTTCTCATTTCTGTAAATTACAAAATGTAATTTCAGAAAAAAATTTAATTTGGGACAAGGATGAAAATATGTTAGTTGGAATTACTAAATTAATGCCAGAGTTAGGATTTTCCCAGTTAAACTGTAATTTCAACTTGCAGTAAAATCTTAATACTTTCTGAATTCTCGACTAATTATTTTGAGCTATCTCAAATCAAGGAACTTCCTCTATTGACTTCCTAAATGCATTCCTAGTCACCATAACTTAGACCAAAAACCACAGACGTGCTTCTCCAATTACGATGGGCAAAAGTCCTTACTTGGTGCACGATACTTTTGTTATACCTTTTTCAAAAAACAGAAAACACCATCACAAGCAACAAAATACTGAAGAGCAAGCAAGTATTCCATACTTGAAGGACGGGACAACTGAAATCAAATAAAATTCCTTTCCAAGGATGGAAACTAAGTAAGAATCCAGAGGTTCTGATTCTAATCCAGCTGCCTCCACCCTTTGAAGAGGGCTTTACTGTTCTCCAGACTTTAAATTCCCGGGGTTTGCGGTCAAGGCCGTATTCTCACAGAATACTAGACTAGGTGCCCAACTTCTAAACCCACAAATGAGTGGGTGTCGCACCGTGACGCGCGAACCTTCAAGCCCAGATACGCAGTTCTTGGGTTGTTTACGGAGGCAGTCCTGGATAGGTCATTGGACTCCAGGGGTTATAAATCGCGGCTGCCGAAACCCGCCAGGCTCAGAGAACACCCAGGTGGCCCAAGGCCTCCCGCAGCTGGACGTAGACCGTCCACGCCGCGCGCCACGTGAGGCTTAGCCCGCCCCCGAGCAGCGCGCGCACCCGACGCCTCGCGTCGCGTGACTCCTCCGGGGCGCGCAGGGTTAGCGCCTGCCGCGCCACTTCCGACTCAGCGCTGGGTTCAGGTTCCGGGGCGCCGCCGAGCTCTCGGCCTGTGGGTCGCGAGTGGCGCTCTGCGGAAGCCGGCGCCAGCCAGGCGCCGTCCGGCGGCCCGGATGGAGGAGGCCGGAGCGGTGGTGGCCACTACCGGAGAAGCGGAACTGAACTGGTCCCGCCTCAGTGTGTCAGCCGAGACGCTGGAGTCGGAGCTGGAGGCGCGCGGCGAGGAGCGGCGCGGCTCTCGAGAGGCTTTGCTGCGGCTGCTGCTGCCCCATAACCGTCTGGTGTCACTGCCACGGGCTCTGGGCAGTGGCTTCCAGCACCTCCAGCTGCTGGACGTGAGCGGTAACGCGTTGACCGCGCTGGGATCAGAACTGCTTGCGCTGACCGGTCTGCGCACGCTGCTGGCAAGAAACAACAGGCTTGGCGGGTCAGGCGCGCTACCCAAGGGCTTGGCCGAGTCGCCACTCCGCCACAGCCTCCAAGTGCTCAATCTCAGCGGCAACTGCTTCCAGGAGGTGCCCGCCTCGCTGCTGGAGCTGCGTGCACTGCAGACCCTCAGCCTGGGCGGCAACCAGTTGCAAAGCATCCCGGCCGAAATCGAGAATTTGCAGAGGTGAGCGGGCCCCAGTCGGAGGGTGGGAGGCCTGGGGCGGGGTCTGGGAGCCTGTGGCGCCAGGCCTGAGCGCCAGGCATTTGTGGAAAAACCGTCTTGCAGGCTCTCTTTAACAGTTGAATAGTGAGTACTGCTTAGCCATCTCCGCGACTTGTGAGGGTCTAATAAGATTAGAGTCACAAGAGTTTGGTTTGGCCCGTGCAGATTTTGGAGGCAGTTTTGCTGATGTTTTCCTTGGGTCTAGGGAATGATCTCAACTGTGTGGATACTCATAAACAAATATAAATCTGAGGTTACCACTTCCTTGCTCAAAAGTCTTCCATGGCTTTCCATGCTTGAAGATCAGAGTACGTGCCTTTTAGCGTGGCATACAAAGTTCTCCAATCTGACCCTTCTTGTCACTATATTTCCAGCTCCTTTTTATTTATTTATTTTCTGTTGCAACCCCTAACAATATGATTTTGTAGAGTTCAGTAAAACATGCACTTTCAGTATGTAGGGAAGGTTGCTTGTAGGTCCCGACACTGGTAGGCGCACACTAAATATGTGCTTACGGATGCAGAACCTCTGTACATGTGCTGTTCCTTTTGTCTGGAATGTTTTCTTAAGTTGGAAAAGTCTTATTTGGTTTCAGAACTTATCTCAAGGATCGCTTCTGTGATACCTTTCTTTGCTACTCCCTGAAAAGAGTAATTATTGATAAATCGTACTTTCTCTGTAGATCATCCATCTCACCATTGCATTGACCTTATTAAATGTAATTCCTTGTTTACAGAAATTATCTGTCTTGCCTGCTAGATTATTTAATAAATGTATGTTGAATTTAATGGGAGGAGAGAAACGATAATGTAAGTGCCCTGAAGGTGCCCTGGACAAAAGCAGAAAATAGAGCAATGAACTATCTTTCATTTGTAAAATGTTTTCACCTCCTTTATTGGATTTTCAGAGAACAGAATGCTAGAGCTGGAAGGAACCTCAGAGTTAAGTGTGGTGAGACGAACATTTGCCTGGGAGTAAGAACTCTTGGTTCTTAAGCCTTAGGCAAAAGTCACTCGACATATACTAATCATAGCTTCCTAATCTGCAAAATGTGACATTTGGATAAGATAACCCTTCATTTACTCCTCAGCTGATATTTATTGAGTACTTGCATGTGTCAGGCACTATCCCAGGCTGTGAATTACAGTGAAGAACATGATCCTGCCCTTATGGAACTAACATGCATACTAATAGAAGAGACAGACATTAAACAACTAACTATAAACCTCAGTATTTAACTACAGTGATTATGAGTTTTATGAAGATGCACAGAGTGCCTTGAGACAACATAACAGAGGGACCTGGCTTATTTTAGTCCTTGGGCAAGTGATATTTTAATTGAGCTTTGAAATGAAGAGTTAAGAATTAACTAGGGGGCAAGGGTGGTGGGATCACAGTGCATGTGAAAGTCCAGAGGCAATAAGGAGGGTGACTACCAAATATGAAAAATAAGCAAAAGAGAAAGTGGCAAATATAAATTTAAGTCTCTCAAGCCATTTTTTATCTCGAAGGCCATGTTAAGTTTGGATTTTATTCTGAGTGCACATATGTCTTGTTGCTGTGTAAGAGTGGAGTAGGGAGAGGCTGAAAAGGTAAGAGGAGATTTAGAGGGCTGGTTAGGAGATCATTGTAGTAGGATGAGAAGTAACCTATACCAGGGTTTGCTAGGAGAGAAGGTAAGAAATAGAAGGGGAGGAAAAATAATTAAAGGTTAAAATTTATAGGATGTGGTTCCTTTTAATTTTCGTGTTGTGTAATTCCAACTTTCTCATTTGAATTTTCTCAGTATACTATGAGGAACCCAGGGCAAGCATTATTTCCATCACAGAGTAAAAGAAATAGGCAAAAAATCCCTGTCATAAATGCTTTAAATATACGTTTTTAATTCTTACAGTGATTCTATGAGATGACATACTCCCCCTATAAAGAAACTGAGGAAGAAACTGAATCCCAGAAAAATTAAGACTCAGGGTCAGTAAGTGGTAGAACTGTATTTGACCTCTGGGTGCTCTGACTCTAAACTTGCAATGGCGAAGTAGGACTAGAAACTCAATCTTTGGACTTCTGTTACATCTGTACTAAGGAGAATTGGTCCAAGTTGTTCTCCTGGTTGACCTGATTTTCTGGGCTGACAACTGTGTCATGCGTGGCTCTAGGTCATTGTGTCTTTGGCTCAAATGTGTGGAATTTTTTATGTCAGTGTTTTTATTTTTAAGATGTTTGCTCTATTTCTCTTTATTGACAGAAATCAGCAAAAGTGTAGGCCGTGTTCTAAATGTGAACTCTGGATGAATATAGGCTAAAAGAGCATGTAGAATTATATACTCTAGAGGTAGAAACAGCCTTGACAGTGATCTGATTCACTTCTTCCTTTTTACAGATGAGGAAACTGAGATTTCACAGTAGTTACTTGTTTTTTTTCTTAATTCTTTTTAGTTACACCAGTAGAATATATTTTGACATAGCATACATACATGGAGTTCCCATTCTTGTGGTTGTACATGATGTGGAGTTATACTGGTCATGTATTCATATATAAACATAGGAAAGTTATGTCTAATTTATTCTGCTGTCTTTCCCATCCTCCCTTTCTCTCATTCCCCCTGTTCAATCTGGTGAACCTCCACTCCCCACCTCCCCAACTCTTCACCCCCACCTATTATGAGTCAGCATCTGCATATCAGAACATTAGGCCTTTGATTTTGGGGGGATTGCTTATTTCACTTAGCATGATAGCCTCAAGTTCCATCCATTTACTGGCAAATGCCATAATTTTATTCTTTATGGCTGAGTAATATTTTATTATGTATATGTACCACATTTTTTTTATCCATTCATCTATTGAAGGGCACCTAGATTGGTTCCATAGCTTAGCTGTTGTGAATAGAGCTGCTATGAGCATTGATGTGGCTGTGTCACTATAGTGTCCTAATTTTAAGTCCTTTTAGTATATGCTGAGGAGTGGGATAACTGGGTCAAATGGTGGTTCTATTCCAAGTTTTCTGAGGAATCTCCATACTGCTTTCCAGAGTGGTTGTACTAATTTGCATTCCCACCAGCAATGTATAAGTGTACCTTTTCCCCACATCCTCACCAACATTTATCATTACTTGTATTTTTTTTTATATATCTTCATTTTTATCTGGTGCTGAGGATCAAGCCTGCTGCCTCACACGTTAGGCAAGTGGTCTACCACTGAGCCACAACCCCAGCCCTCATTACTTGTATTTTGGATAATTGTCATTTTGACTGAAGTGAGATGAAATCTCACTGTAGTTTTAATTTGCATTTCTCTAATTGCTAAGATGTTGAGCATTTTTTCATATATCTGTTGACAGATCATAGTTCTTCTGTGAAGTGTCTGTTCAGTTCCTTTGCCCACTTATTGATTGGGGGTTATTTTTTTGGTGTTAAGTTTTTTGAGTTCTTTATATGTCTTGGAGATGAATACTCTATTTGAGGTGCAGTGGCAAAGAGTTTCTCCCATTCTCTAGGCTCTCTCTTCATGTTCTTGATTGTTTCCTTTGCTGTGAAGAAACTTTTTAGTTTGATACCATCCCATTGATTGCACTTTTGGAGACTTGTTGAGGACTTCGGTTCCTAAGCCCACATGATGGAGATTTGGGTCAGCTTTTTCTTCTAGTAGGCGCACAGTCTCTGGTCTAATGCCTAGGTCCTTGAACTACTTTTTCTAAACCCCTTCTCTGACATTTTTTCCACTGTGGTATCAATGGATTCTGTTATTGGAGTATCTTGGTTTGTTTGGGACGATTTGTTCCCTTGCTTTTTCATGTTATTTGTGTGTCTAAACATCTAACAGCATGGATCTGAGGCAGTAGGTTATACCCTGTGGACTTACAATGTCCCCAAAGGTTTTTAGTACCTTACTGTTTAGGTGGAGACAAATAATAACAACAACCAATGCAAACAATAAACAGCACAAAATCAAGTAGTTCCTGTTATGATGTCTACAATGTTAATTATCACAATAAATAAATGATATGATCAGTTATTGCCTGCAATAAAACAGCAAGTTTGTAAAAGGGTTTACAGTTTCAAATGGTGGACAGGGAGAAATCAGAAGTGATAGATGTGGTGATTATGAGGAAGGAGGACAGAAGTAGAAGTAAAAAAAATTGAAGGAAGAGTACAAGAGAATAGAGATTGGCTATTAGCAGAAGAGAAAGAATCGGGAAACAGGTAAGAGAAAAATAAGTAAAAATTTTAAAAAATTTAAAATAAAAATAAAATAACACAAAACAACTAAAACATGCAAATCAAACATCCTAGTCCTCAAGAAACTCATCCATGAAAAATAGCTGGCTTCAAAAATGCTAGAAATGAGGGGAAAAACAACAAATATGAGTATGTATAAATATCCATGCATCAATAAGGTCACAATTAAGCAGAGAAAAGAAAAAAGAAAGAAAAAAAGAGGAAAAAATATCTCCATGAAAAGTTAAAGAATTTCTGGTGGAGTCCAAAAGATTCTGTTTCTCTTCTCAGCATTTTTAGGGGTCCTGTGTAGTGTGAAACTCCACACTCTGGATTGCTGCAGTGAGAGAGGTAGTCCTACAAGCAGGGTTTAGGCTTAGGTGGGCTCCAGGCTCTTTGCTGACCACTTGTGTGGTGGAGGAGCCAATTCTTATCCCCTATGTGTTACCTGTGGGCCCCACATTTCCTGGGTCTTGGGTTCTTTCTCCAAATTCAATCTCTCCCACTCTTCCAAAAACCCCCACTAGAGGAGTCTTTGCCAGCAGGTCCTATAAGCAGCTGGATTGGAGGGGGAGGGGTAGAGCCGGGTGGGTTTCCAGGAGCAGTTGTCCCCTGTGTAAACCTCTCTCCATGTTTCATTTTCTCCTGGTCACATTAGCATACTCTGTTTCATGCACTGTGTGTTTACTGGGCCTGTATTTCCCGTCAGACGTGGATTTGCCAGGAATCAGCTCCCTCAACTGCAG